CTCATGCAGATATTCTTGTTTCTCGGGTAATTTTAGAAGTCCGTATAAAAGCTAAGCACCCGATTTGACATGTCCATCAAAATCCACCCGTAAAGCGATGGTCATAGTGAGTGCAGCATTCGATTCTTGAAAGGCGTAAAATGTAGCGTGTGCGCTGATACGCCCTTACGTTAGAGCTCAGTGTTTCCCATTGTTGGGTTTGCCATGAATAAAGACGTCCAGTCCTCGACAGTCTACACTCTGTTCTACGTAAACGGCCTCAATTCTGTCCTCGTCCCATTTGATGTGTAACGTTATTCAGGGCTTATTGAGAGAATAACATGCGATCAACTTGCTAAAGCCAGTCCTATTACAGCTTAAAACAGGTTAGCGCATTTCTTACAATGCGACTAAATTGCTTAGCACATGTGGTACGCCCGTAATGGTTGCAAGCCAAGATAAACAGAGTGAACAAGTGGATGCAAAGAGTAGAAGACGCATTGAAAGTAATGAGGTCAGTGAGCAATTTTTAAGCTCAGGATCTACCTAAAAAATTTGTGTCTACTGTGCTCAAGACAGAGCTGTGTCCTGATTTTATATAAAATTATTAATGATCGTGGCTTACAATTGCCATGATCGAAATCTCACCGTCTTTAACAGTCACCCTCGGCCTGTTATGTGTCTATATGGTTGCAAGTGTCGGTTGTGCCTGCACGTAATCTTCTTGCTTTACTTCATTAAAAAAAAGAAATTAAACAAAAAATATCTGAAAAATTATCGTTCCATTAACATAGGTATAAAAAGAGTCGGTGCCTGTATTTCTTGAACTAACCGTCCATAATCGCGAAATTATGGTACGTACGACAATGCCGAATCCGTTCTTGGAGAGCAAATAAAGGGGGGGAGGCAATCGCTTCATTCTTGTCGCAAAAATATGTCGCTCAATTACGATAATTTAGAATTGTCAAAAGGAGCTTCTGTTGGTGACCTTGAATTAATGTGTGTTCTTTTGCACCTTTGCGAGCCCGTTGTGTATTTAGATAATTTTTAGAGCCTTTTACCTGCCTTTCGGTATAGAGAATTAATGATTTAAAACCAGCTATGGTCATTTTTCGATAGCCTCAGTCAGAAATCTGGACGACTTTCGTTTAGTCGATGCCCAAATAAAATAGAGTGATGGATCATGATTTAATTGGCGCTCTAGCACGTTCAGCTATAAATTTCCTTGCTTTCCGAAGTATTTTTTGCTATAAAGAAGTGAATAGTGAACCCGTCCTCAGATCTTTTGACAGTGGCATAATTCTTTGTGTATTTGAGCATTCACACTACGACCCCGGCCGCATAAGATGGGTCATATTTTAAGTGGTCTAAATTTTAATCAAAACAGAGTATCCTAGGACGCGTGCGAACCTAAAAATTATCGTCGAGTTCCTCCTGGCTGTTTCATTTAATCTACGGTGGAAAATCTTGATTTATTGCGCGGAAATGGAGATTATGAGGGGGGATCTCAGGCGGATACATTGAAACGGACCACGCAGACATTGCATAATTAAGTGATGAGGAATCCATATCGGTTTCAGAAAAACCGCGATTTGTTGTTGGGATGAATAGCGTATCAAATCAAGCAGTAGTAGATATTACTTTGTGTAGGGATGCACGAATTGAGCTTTATAGCGATTGTATTTCTCTCCTGATTACCGTCTGTAAGAAGACACAATGGAGGCAGTGAAGATCTTCATTTTGTGATCACCAGCTAACTATGAAATTGAACTAACGTGTTTGGCGTATAACTTAAAAGAAGTGCGTAGGTTGAGAAGGTTAATTTAAGTGTAAAATGCTAAATGTGTCATTTTCACAAAGTAAACATAGACTCGAAGGGATGTTTGTACTCAAATTTGCAGCAGAAGCCATATATTTACCGAGGGATAAAAATTAATTTTGGCAAAGGAAAAAACTCGTAATTATTTTTAGGAAGTGACAAGGAAGACATCCGTTTGAAGACGAGTGGACGCCCATGGATAAGAGATATTTATCAAATTACTGATCTGGTGTTCGCTTATAATATGAGTAAGTTATTTGTTTTAAATTTGGATGAACATGGTGGTATCCTGTGTGTTCGTCTTTTCGCAAATGTTGTTGCAGCCTCATTTTAACGCACGGGAACGAGGTAGTATTTTAATTTGTACCATCGCTAAATTGAATGTCATATTGGCATTTTAACAAACGCTAGGTCTCGGTAGGATACATTAGTCTTTACACAAGTGCAGTGATTAGATATCCTGATTCAGTATCAAGTTTATGCAGATTCAAATACCTAACCACGTCATTTTTTATCCCTTTATCAACTACATGTGTAGAAAATTCGGTAATGCGCTATCGTACGTTACATGAGAGTTCGTTCGCTTAATGGCTCTTTATAATATGACCTCAAACACTCAATTAAGTGCACTCTCTACAGCCTTTATATATCGTGTTCGAATTTATCGAATTAAGCATCAGCGCAGTAAGTATCGGATTTTTTAAACCTAAGTCAATCAATTAAACTACAAATTTAGCAAATTCACGATCCTCGGCAAAATTCCAAGGCGCAAATCGTTTTCTTTTATGCGCCATAACTACCCGTTATGGCCACGAAACTTCAGTCTTTTCCTTCATTGAAATGTTACAGAAAAAAGAGACCAGAAGGAAAATTACGCCAAATATAGGCAAGATTGCCATAAACATATTTAAGGAACTGAGGTGTGGTGAGGTAAGTGGATGAGGGGTTGAGAGGGGGTCTTACATTTTGTATTGCATCGTACTTAGCTTTTTCATCTTATGTTTAATTTAGGGGCTCCGGCTCGATACGTGTCGAAAAAAAAAATTTTGGCAAAAAAAAGTGTCCGCTTTGTCAGCAAAGGCATTCGCATCGTAAGATAAAAACAAATTTTATATCCTAGAGATGACTGCGGAGTATGTAGAGGCACCTTCTAGAATATTCAATTTATCTTAAATTAAAAATTACTCTTGAACTTAAAAGGGAAAGTATTCCTAGACAATCTTTTTTTCTTTTTCAATTATCTGGAGCAATTGTTTTTGCATTATAAATAAATTTAATTTTTTTTAAATTGAATTTTACACTTTAAGAGATATTAATCTAAAGGCTACGACTAGGGGCACACCTTAGCGTTGCTACGGGCACAGCCACTCTTCCAGAATAACAACAACGACTGACAATAATTACAAAGGTTACTGCAGAGGCCTGTAAGAAATAAACTCGAAGTTATTGACATGCACTTTCAGCTACCATATCTGTCGCCAGTTTGATCTGCATCACCGTGATGTCCAAAATCCCCAAATTTACTACATTTGATCGCGTCAAGCTGACGAATGACCCCCAAAGGTAACAGGAACAAGCTTTCATCCGCTGCGAGTACAAAATATGATGTCTAACCAGAATCATAAAACCTTAAAGAAGTAAAACAGGTTGAAGCTAAGGGGAGATGTGAGGACGGTACACTGTAGATGAAGATTCCTTGTGGTGGGCCGTCAGTCAGTGCTCGAAGTGCGGAAGCAAACGTGGAAGGCGAGATTTGAGCTATACAGTCCTTAGATGTTTTGCGGTAGTCGACGCCCCCGCAAGCGCTCCATTTTTATGCTTTTTCTGTTTCTGCTGTTGTTCTATGTATTCAGTTCCAATCGGATTTATTATTCATCGAGGTACTTGGTCGTACCTTTGTCCTCGCAACCTCCACATTCTTTAATAAGACAGAAAAACGCTGTGATAGATCGTGGAGATGCTAGAAGGTTGACCCCTTTGTGACCCGGCAACAATGCAACGTTGTTGGCTGGATGCTTGAAAAACAGGCAATGACCTTCTGGTCTCATAATAGCTTCAGGGATAATGATGAAACGATCTACAACGTGACAGTGACGATATACATTGCCGAAACTTAATCGCGTGTATCCGCTAATAGTGTAGCGGAGCTACACAGCCCCTTAAGTCAGAGGAAGACTTAACGCTCTACGAGCAACTTAGTTCCAAAGAACTAACGACTTTACGAGTCAACAAGCTTTACAGCTTCAGATCCCTGTTCCAGGGGGACCTAACGATCCAGCGAATCGACAGCACTCATGGCTCAAGAGCAGCTACCTCAAGGAGGTGTCGCTAACTCTTAGTGATCAGTGATCAACGATCAAGACGGCTCGCAAGCCACGTGTCCTTCAGATCAAAATGGGAACTGATTTTATTTTGTTAAAGCCTATAGAATATCTTAATCCTACTCAAAGATCTTTCGTACCTAATGGCTGACACTCGTCAGCCCCTACAGACCAATAAGATATTCGATATCACCTTCACAAAGGGATAACCTCAGGTGTGTAACACCCCTGGTACAACGTACCATAATTTCGTGCAACCCCGTTACACCCTCCCCCACCAGACTGACGTTTGCCAAAAAGTCAATCGAACTTGCGTTCTCAGCGAGAACAGTGCGCGTACGGTGAACCTCACGGTAACGTACGCTCCAGCACGATGTCCTCATCACCAAACGAGTCAAAGGCTCTGTGTGACTACCTCGGGATAGAGGAGGAGGTGGACTATGGTAGCAATACCAGTGTCCACGGTGATACAGGGACAATGTCCGGCTCACTGATGCCTGAGGCACAACTTTCGAACACCCCAAATCCGTTCGCTGAACGTGGAGGTGCGAGCGCGCCACCAGCGCAGTATGCAGCGTCTGGGTCTGATGAGACTATCATCACGAACCCGCTCGATGAGCAACAACAGTGCTTGTTCAAAGAGAAGAAAACGCTCAGCGTCATGTACAAATGGCTACAACCCTTGAACGCCAGCGTGACTATGTGTTCACCCCACCCAGTGTGGAGGAACGTCTACTTCAGCGGCCGGCCACACATTGGCAACGTGGGTCATTGGTCATGGGCCTAAGACTCCTGAGGAGGTTGTGAGCTGCCAGGCACTTCGCGAGAGGAACCTGATGCCGCACCTAACGACTCAAAGTCAATACAAGGCACGCCTTGACATGCAAGCGCGTGGTACATCGGTTCCACCGATCAAGGGTATACCCATTCTCTTGTTCGCAGGCGAAACAGTGAGCGAAGAAGACGATGCCTTTGTTCACTGGGTGCACTATGTGCGTCGCCTCAGCAACATTTTTGCTCTAAACGCTAGTGCCAGTGTGGCTGACGTGCGTCTTGAACGCAAGCTTCGGTATGATTATGCCAAGCTTAAGACCAGAGGCCAATTGCGCAAGCGCACGCGCTATGCTTCGGATACTAAGGTAGCCGCGAGTGCTGGTCAGTCTGTGGCCAACAACCCGCCAACCCGCACCACTAGTGGCGGGGAACGGCCTCGGCCTCGAGATGACCATTGCCACGATGCTCAAAAGCCTACAAAGCATATAGACAGTCTTGCCGAAGGGACATTGTAAATTCCCATGAGTTTTCAGACTCAGGGTACCCACGCCACTTTACCAGATACTGGTATTGGCCCTGACGACGACGTCGTTTCAGTAGTCTCTCGACATGAAATTGACGACACCCATGCTCATCGAGCAAAGTCGGTGGCGGCCGGTGTACCGGTGGAGGCCCACGAGAAATTGGTTCTCGAAGTAAAGGGTCTTCAAGAGGCCTTGGGTAAGTCCCAGTGCATGCTGGATGCGATGCAAAGCCGCCTTCAGGCGATGGAGCAAGCTCAAACTCGGAGCGAGGCTCAATTGGACTAGCTGATTCGTCTACAGCAATCCGGGGCAGTGCCCTTGTCGTCGGCGCAAGCGCCTCCAAGTTCACATGGGAAGGATCCCGGTACGGCTTAAGTAAGCCTACGCAGAACACTGGATGTGTGCGCAATTTGCGCGGAATGTTTAGCGTATACGCAAGTCCCTTCTTGGCCGTGACCGTAAACGGTCCAATAAAGCGTGGACGCAACTTTGTCTTAAAGACAGCAGACACTACATTTGTAGGTAGATTTTTAGCATTGATTAGTACTTGGTCTCCGACCTCATAACGTTCAATACAATTTCTGCCTTTGGCATCAGCTTGTTGTTTTTGGGTATCTTGGCTATCAGCCATTGCGTCACGCACATGTCTTAAGACATTTAATCGCGTTGCGGGAAACTCGCTTACCTGTTTTTGGACAGTAGCAGGGCTGATATCAGCAAGCCGATCGGCAACCTCTCCCCCAACAAGCCCTGATTCACGTAGTGATAGCGTTAACGGAACGAGAGGGTGAGTGAGACCGTTTATATCGAACGGAGTAAAGCCTATTGAGGCATGAACAGCGTTATTCAACGCAAACTCAACAACAGGGAGCATTGAGCTCCAACGCCTAGGCGTATCAGCGCAAATACTGCGCAAAATATCGTTGATGACACGGTTTACGCTCTCAGTTTGACCTTCGGTCTGCGGATGATCCGCTGTGGACATGTTTAACCGAGTGCCAAGCACCCTGAAGATAGACTTCCAAAATTTCCCAGTGAAGCGGGAGTCTCTATCAGAGATAATTGACACAGGCAAGCCATGTTGGCGAAACACACGGTCGATAAACAGCTTTGCTGTGCCTTCGCCATCGATCGTGTCCGGCACAGACGCTAAGTGAGCCATCTTGCTCAATCGTTCAACAAAGACCACAATACCAGTGTTGCCTTCCGAATCTTTCGGTAGGCCAAACACAAAATCCATGCTCATGGACTCCCAACAACCAGTGGGTACTGGCAAACTAGCCAGCGGCGCCGCCGCATGTGCCGAGGGTTTTACCCGTTGACACGTTTCGCACGTGCGCACACAGGTGTGCACCCAATTATAAAGTTTGGGCTACCAATAACTTTGGTCACCGAGCTATAAGTCTTCTCACGACCGAGATGACCACTTCAAGCAGTATCATGTGCCTCATAGAGGATCCGATACGTTAATTTCTCATCATGAGGTACAACGATACGAGGGTTGTCCTTAATATCCGTGCGATAGCACAACAGGCCATTATCGATGGAATATCGATGTAGCCTCGCACGTAAACGTGCCGACAATTCTATGTCCGAGTCTCTAAACTCATTGCTATAAAGAGCACGCAGCAAAGCTACACACTGTTCATCCTTGGCATATGCCGCACGGATTAAGTCAGTGACCGACGAAGACAGAGTCGTAACATGAGCAAGCTCATATTCAGGTCGACGCGATAGCGCATCAGCCAAAGCGTTTTGCTTATCTAGCTTGTACTTCACCTCGAAGTTATATTCGGCAAAGAAGGAAAGCCAACGAGCCATTCTCTGTGAGAGATGAGGCGACTGTGTCGCATTGCGTAATGACGCATGATCTGTATAGACCACAAACGGCTTTGAGCCAAGCAAATGTACTCTGAATTTGACTAGAGCGTACTTCATAGCAAGTAGCTCTTTGTCATGAACTGGATAGTTCTTTCGGCAGCTTTCAGCTGTCGAGACTCGAATGCGATGACGCGTTCGCGTCCGTCGACATCTGTTTGCAACAGAGCACTGCCTATGGCAAAGTCAGATGCGTCACAGACGACACTGAAAGGCAGATCAGGATCGGGCAAAGCCAATATTGGCGCATGAAGGAGACTTTTTTAACGGCTTCAAACGCATCATGTTCGGTGTTACTCCAACACCAATCCACATCCTTTTTAAGGAGATTGGACAATGGCCGAGCCATATCTACGTAATTCGCACTGTATTTATGTAAGTAATTGGCAAGGCCAAGCCACTTACGCAAGTCCTTTTGGTTCTTGGGGACTGGCCAATCGACTATGGCTTTTACCTTAGCGGGATCCGCTCGAAGGCCTCGCTTCCCAATGAAGCACCCTAGAAAGGGAATCTCTTCTGCACCAAAGATGCACTTCGATGCGTTCGCATACATTCGAGCACCGCTCGTAAATGATCGATGTGGTTATCCACATCTGATCGCCCATTCATTGCACGACTATGGACAATTATGTCATCAAAGTACGTTTGTGCATAGCCTCGATGAGGTCTGAATAGTTGCGTTACCAACCGGTTGAATGTAGCCGGGACGTTAGATAGCCCTTGTGGCATAACGAGCCACTGCCAGAGCATACCGCTCGTAGTACTCACCGCTGTTAGCGGAATATCACTTGCTCGCATGAGCAGTTGGTAATAACCATCGACTAAGTCGAGTGCACTGTACAATGTACATCCTGCCATATTGTTTTACAGAACATCCTTTCCAGGAATAGGCTTCTGCGCCGGTATAGTGGCTGCATTAAGCTTATTACAGGCATGCACAATACGCCACTTGCCATTTGGCTTTTTGACACAAAATGTCGGTGTTGAACGGGGAGATTTACTCTCACGAACCATTCCAGCCGCGTGCTTAGCACGAAAGAATTCGTCAATGACGTCACACTTTTCTTGAGGCAAAGGCCACTGCCGTGTTACACAGTATTTAGTTCCAGGAACCAAGTCAATCTCATGACGTACACCTCTATCGGTAGGTAAGGCAGAAGGTGGGTAGTGACACACCACATCTTGAAATTCCTTAACTAAAGGATAGAACGGATCCAAAGGATCTTTAAGGATCGAAGATCCACTTCGTGCACTTAGTACGCCTTTGCATCCTCTAGGACAGACTCATCCATTAACGAGGAAGAGTTCAACTCAGTATCAGGTCTAATGACCGCTAACTCGGATAACGCTCCTGCCTTTAAGGCCTAGCTAAACTCTCCATCAGACATTTCGTCTGGCTCACAAAGAGCGTCCACGGATGGAAGGGTTTCAAGGCAAACACTGCCATCAACCCGACCAGTCACTCCATTAACAAGTGTATATAGTGTATTACTATTACCACTATGTGACTGTGAGGACGCCTTGCGCTTAATAGTAGCTACCCGGCGTCTCGATCGTCTCTTCGAGACCTTACACCCCTTAGGGGTCGGGACAATATTGTCCCCATGGTTACTACCAACCGTAGTACGCTCTATACGAGAGCTTTTGTCTTGACCGACATTAGGTGTGGTGCCCTCACGGCCGTCCACACTATACGGCGTATCGCCAACAGTATCATTACTGACATTAGATGTGGTGCCCTCACGGCCGCCCACACTATACGGCGTATCGCCAACAACGCCATTACCGGCGTTAAGCGTGGTGACCTCACGGCGGTCCACACTATATGGAGAATCGCCAACAACGCCATTACCGACGTTAAGCGTGGTGCCCTCACGGCCGCCCACACTAAATGGCATATGGCCAAAAATGCCATTACCGACATTCAGTGCGGTGCTCTCACGGCCGACCGCACTCGGTGTAGTTTCACGTGCCACCATACACACATCAAAGGAATCACATCCTTGATCACTCGGCCCTAATCCAACCATGCTTTCAGCATGCAGTGACTCGTTATCACAACGAGTAACACTCAACGGAGTACGTGCCGTTTCACTAGACGAGCTAAGCTCGAAACTTATGTTTGTAACATTGGAGTTAGATAACTCAGACATTCCAACATTCAGCACATTGACATCTTCTGTCAAAGGCTCGCGCCAGTAGCGTTTTTGTTGCCTAGAGAAGGTGGGTTCATGACTCTCCAAAGCTTCGCCAGGGACATTGCGCGTAGCGCCTAAGGTCTTGGACCTCCAATCAATCCATGGCTCATGGCGTTCAAGCCAAGCCATACCTAGGATGAGATCATATCTCAGGTCCAAATCTAGGACAAGACAGCGCTCAATACTGTCAAAGAATAAAAACTTTATACCTAAGTTCAATGCAACTTTAGGCACAGTTACGCGACTTCCAGTCGCTAGAAGAGCCGTGATAGAATCACCCTCATGCGCTGTAAGCGCCTCATCATAACGCTGACTTCCCTCAAGGGAACGGCGTCGAGCATAATTGCAAGACGCTCCAAAGTCGATCAATATCGACCAAGGCTTCTCAAAGCCCTTGATTTTCGCCTCGGCGACCAACAAGCCAGACTTGTATCCACGCACCATACCAATAGGTACGGAGCTCTTTGGGGCTAAGCCCTGCATTTCTTTACCTTCTAAAGGTGTAACAGAACATAGTTCTTCCCCAGTAGGGCACCCCGCGCCTACTGGATGTCGGCATTTCCCCGTGCCATGCCAGACTTCTGACTCGGGGTCGAGTGTTGGATCGTAGCCTGGCGTTGCTTACGCAAAGGGCAACCAGGCCGCAAGTGTTTAGTGCTTCCGCACGTAAAGCATCGTCGTACGACGTGTTGCTGCTCAGCAGCTTGAAGCTCAGCTTCACCTCCATCTTCAGCATAGCTGAGATCCATCGGTTCCGGCCTATTATAGGGAGTGGTACCCGAATAGTTTTCTCTCACAGAGCGAGGATTGAATCCATTCCAACCAAGTCTGGCCGACTTGAAGTTATGCTCAGCATTAAGAGCAATTCTCACGGCCTCTTCAAACGTAGAGGGGTGAATCCGAAAAACTTCGGTT